CTTTCATCGTTTCCTTTCGTAATATGTTGATCTTTTTTATTTTTAGGAACACAGTTAACGCAAGAAGAATCTCTTTACCCTTTCACGTTCTACCATATGAAAGAAAATAATTTCTTATTGTCTCTCGAATAAATAAGTAATTGAAGACAATCTAGCTAGTCGCGTTACATGGTTCACCTGATATACGTCATATATCGTTATGTGTCATGTACGAAGAGAGAAATAAATAACAAAAGAGAAAGACTTGAAAAGAGGTAAAATTTTGCGACGAAAAATCGATCCACCGGAAATATTGGTAAAAGCAACTGAATTTACGCGAGAGAAAAAGGAAAAAAAAGAAACATGGCCATTGTTTAACCGGCATCGATCAAACATGCAGTTTTTCAATGGTCCGCGAGATATTTATCAATCACGTCGAAACGATAAAATTTGATCGCCACAGCTATGACACGGTGAATAACGTTTAAACAATCGTGTTCCCCAAATTTTGACGTTTCGATATCGAATCCAGATTTGACGGTTCGAATTTTAATTCGCCTGCCGATTAAAACGTTGGGTGGAAACTGGACCTCAAACGTCGTCACCCTGCGCTACAGTCACCTGGTACCTCGGTGATATCTTTCTGGGAATTCACGCAATTCGTCACCTAGTATCGTCCATTTTAATCGTTTCGTGCCTCAACGGGGAGAGAAATAAATTTTAACAGGGACCTTGGGAATAAGGGACGAATCGCCGAACTAGAAAATCGGGATTTTCATCGCGAATATTCATGAAATCCTAGCACGCGACTTAATCGCCAGATGGCCGAGGAATTTCGTCCGGAATGTTCGCCCTTGCCACTGACGAATCAACGATAAACGCGGCAACGCAGTCCTCCGGTACAGCGCGAACGTCGCAGTAGTACGAGTCAACTGTTTCTCAGACGTCGACAAAAAGCCGCATTTCTCCGTTGTTTATTTTCGATTAAAGAATGGAAATCCAATGCAGAATAATAGAAAACATGCAAACAAGGGCAGACACGTCATCTTTCTCTCTTTTTTTCCTTTTTCTTTTTTTTTTTTTTTTTTTTTTTTTTTTTTTTTTTTTTTTTTTTTTTTTTTTTTAGGATTTGTTTCCAAGGGAAACAATAGAATTTAATAACGTTTTGTTACGATCCCGTTGTTTTGAGGTGAAAATAGATATCGTTGGTAACTAATGAGGATAGAAACAGTGACATGGGACATAATGATCGGCCAGTCGCCTCTAATTACTTCGCGTCGCACTTTCCTCATAATTTCGTTTCGGTTAATGCCAGGCAAAGGGCGATGCATTATTCGGTTAATAGCGGTAGTATGCGAATTTACGCTCGTATTATAATCCTACAGCTCGTTGATGTAATTATCGACTGCGGAACGGAGCATCGTTTGATCTCGTTAGCGCGACACAATGTTCGTTTCCAAGAAACCGCCAGCAAGAACCCCCGTCGTTTCCAAAAATCCACTACCGACCAACCGATTAATCGAATTCTCAAAACTATTCGTCCTTGTTTTATCTATCTCTCCTTTTTCCCCTCCTACGGCTTCGCTCCCGCGATACAACAAAAGGGGATTTTTTAAACAACGAACTCTCGTCGTTCCGCATACGGAATAGAATGTAAATAGAGGTGGCAACGACTGGAACTGCTGGTTTTTTCCGGAACGAGAAGGGAGCCGAAAAAAAGAGGACTTCGTTTGTCTCTCTCATCGTCTCCTCTTTTCCCTCCTCTTTTCCTTTTTCTTTTTTTTTTCGTTCTTTATTTATGCAGATTGCGAAACGCTGAAAATTCTCGAGCACACGGAGGTGCCGGGTCAAGGGTGAGGACTTTCGCTTTTCAACCTGCCGAATTTCCAGCGCGACGATTTTGAATAAATTCCTCCTCTGTCGCGTTGAATCATCCTTCTGCCTCTCTCGCTATTCCAGCTCGTAATTCGAACAAATCACTTCGTCGTCCGAGGAAAAGGAAAAATCAACACCTATTCACTCGCCGAATGTATTGGGTTGGAATATGTAAAAACATTCCACCGACAGAGAGATCGTCTAGGGATAGAGGAAAAAGGAAAGGAGAGAAAAAATGTCAGTGAATACGCGAGGGAGACTGTTTCATTAAAATTCAGACTATGTCGCAGGAAAGTTAGTTAAGAACCAGAAAGTGGGGGGCTGGAAGGGTGGGGTACGCGAAGAATTTGAATCCGGCTCGCTAGATTTTCCAAAGTTGGCGCAACTTGCTCGTTGGGAAACAGAATTGCGCCTCCCATGAAAACACGCCATGTTCCATCGTTACTTCGTCCCACCCTAAAAGCCCCCACTGCTACCTTAATTTCCCGGATGGCGGAAGATTAATTAAAACAAATCCAATTTTCAATTTTCCGTTCACCAGAACTTCCCCCGACGCCATCCTGTTATTTGTATTTGCTTACGCATCCGTTCTCTTACGAACAGGCCCTAAAGTCATTTGTCAAATGACGGTTAATACGGCAAGAGTGCTTGTCCCTTTTCCAAAGGACGCGAAGATGGCACTCGTACCTAGACTCCCTTTAGCTCTTTCTTACCATTCGTCAGACACGCCGCGTCTGTAGGAAGTAGCTTGAATTATTTAAGAGACTGCAGCCTAGTCTGCGAAAAAGGCCACGTTTCCACGGCAATCGAATCAATTTGTTGCAAAAAAGGTTAAGGTGTTAGGTTCTTTCTAAACTGCGGTGTTTGGACATAAGTAGCATCCTCGGTTAAGCTTAGTGTGCTAGGTCCAAGTTGAAATATCCACTGCTTAGGGTGTTGAATTAGGTTAGGTCAGACTTTGAGCGTTAGGATCGAGTTAGAGTGCTAGGTTTAAACCGAAGTATTATAATTCGGTTAAGATCTTAGTGCCACCGAGGAATAACTTGGTTCAGGTTTTGTTGAGCTAAGTTCAAGGTGAGAGGTTGGAATTCGATCGGTGTTATAGATCCAGATTAGAAGGTTAGATAAAGGTCAGAACATCGGATCCCATTTGGAGTGTTAGGTTTGAGGTAAAATATTAGATCCACGTCAGGTTACATGATTTAGGTGGTTAGATCTATGTACTGCTGCCAGAGACGAATGTTCACGCCCGAAGGGCACGACTGTGAAATTGCCATGTTCAACCCGTTCACGAAGATACCGTTAAGCGGTTCGGCATTAGAGCGACACTCAATTGTCAGTCGCAATGTGAATTTGCACAGGTGTCAGGCGCAAGATATCATATCGAGCGGTACTCTGAATGGGCTAAATTGCTGATGCAGGTACGCGTATATCGCGATGCGTCAGACCGACTCTGGGTTACGTGAAATGAATTCAGCTCTATTTCTCCGTTGATCTAACCTAAAGGCTATCTTTCTCCATTAGTCTATCAAACTATCTACCTTCCGTGTGCATATACACGATCTATTCCAGAAACAAATACAACTTAAGTCATACGTTTCACGTGAAGATCAAACCTAATGGATGGGAACCTTAAATGAATTTCGACCTGACAAATTGGGTTTCAGCGATTCCGGTGAAATAGAAGTCGGGTTAGGTTGTGAAACCGATACTTAACATTGTGTAGCTAGTTCTAGTAGAAGCCTATGTGGTTTCAGTTACCACCAGATGAATCCTTTTCGAATAGACCAGTCAAAATTTGGGATCCGGGGTGTTCTGAGAACGGCTGGCGATCGACTATCGTCGCTTAAAATCGATCGACGTTGTGACACGATCGTTGCAAACTTGTTCGCTTTGCGGAGAATGAAATTCAGAGAAGTGGACTTATCATGAACCGCAGAAATGCAGAACCAGTTGCGTTACTTGAAAAGCGTTCTAGATGAGCCTGATTCATCATCTTCTGGCGAAGGCTCCGTGAATTGGTGGAAATTTATCAGACTTTTCTCCTTCCAGCCTTAACCCCAGTCGTAAAGGTGTGCTCGATGAACTCGATTAATCATTCAGCTTCGAAGGAGTCCTTTCCTCGCAATCTCGGGCGACTACGCCATTTTTTCTCGCCACAGAAACAAACCGTACTAAAAGGTTTTCCATTCCATTGGTGCTGGGGAATCAAATATTCGACGGGCAGCTCGAAATCGTTGCGAATAACGGTGATTTATGATCCAATGAGCAATCGTCGAGTATTCCCGCGCTACCTTCCTCGCGAGAAAAAGACCAATCGATTTGAGCCATGGACGTCGCGGAGACGAAGCGAGATCTACTTAATTACCACGACTCGGCCAAGCGAGAAACCAAGTCGGGTATTAATGGCGCTCGCCTTCGAGTCGAAGATCGAGATCGAGTTTGTTTCCAGCTAACCGACGTCACCTTGGTTGACAATTGCCACTGGCTGCGGATATTTTCTAAAATACCTACTCAAAATACAACAATTGAAATCCTCACCATGGAACAGCTATGCGGTCAGCTGAGTCGGCTATGTGATTTGACCATTACAGAGGTTTAAGGCTCTTCAAAGTTATGTAATCTCATTCCTTAAAGATATCAACCGAAAACGATAAATTTCGAGACTACTGAATCTGGTTGGAGATGTGGTCGGTCTCGTAGCTTTTGCTACATAAAGAAAGCTATCGAGCAGGGTCCCCGAGGCATTTAGATCGCAAAGGTTAATTAGCTAGAGTGGGTCGCTTTTAAGAAAGTCAGGGCGAAATAATTTCCCTAGACCGCGTTGCGCGACGCAGCTTTTCATTAACCAGAAAGGCAGATCACGAGCCAATAACGAATAGCTATCCGTATTATCCAGCGACAATACACCGAAAGCATTGTTCCCAGCCGACGCGGCTAGTCGTTCGTCCGGCTGAACGATGTTTCACGTAACGAACGTTTCAAACCTGTCTGACTGGCGTTTTAACGCAAAAAATCTGTGAGCAACGTTATTCTATCGATTCAGGCTCGTTTTCATCCACCATTCACCGAGCTTATGCAGTGGGCATAAGGGCAGTTAACCGCCGTTGCATCGTGCCATAGATCAGCTGTAAAAACTAACTCACCCTCATTCTCGTTATTTCCAATCAGGATCTCGGTGTCAGTGAAGTCAGCCTCCCTGAGGAGGTCAAGAGGATGTTTGGGTAAAAAGATTCCGTCGATCGTTGGCGCCGATGGGAAACCCAGAATGCCCCAGTAGCTGTTCCACTGCTGGACAGAGATGGTCTTGGCGTCCACGGACCTCATGCAAGCCATCACCCTGGCTGGATTCTCTTGAAGCATCGTGGAGTTGCACCCACAATCGTCAACCAGTATCCTGGCCACTTCGTTTGCCTTTTCCCCCGTCATGTAACTCCACGGTGCGTTTAGGGTACCACTTTGAAGGATTCCACGGCGGACTAAGCCCCGAGTAACCGGAGAAATCAGGTGCAGGGACACGGAGCTGCCACCAGCAGACTCTCCGAAGATTGTGATCAATTCAGGATCTCCTCCGAAAGCTGCAGCATTATCCCTAAGCCATCTGAGAGCCAGAGCCTGATCCCACAAACCCATGTTGCCAGGAGCTTCTTCGCTGTTGGTAAAGTGCTTGTTCAGGTACAGGAACCCAAAAGCGCCTACCCTGTACTGCATGGAAGCGATGATGACGCTGCTGGTGGCTGCCATGATGTCCGCGTCATACACGTCCAGGGTGGCGGTACCGCTCATGAATCCTCCCCCATAGATCCAGACCAAAAGCGGTAGACCGTTATTTTTCCCATTGCTGGGTGATTCCGAACCTTTGTGTCTTAGTCGAAGCTTCTGTGGTACCCAGATATTCAGGTACAAGCAGTCTTCGGAGATATTGGTATTAGGGTTCCACATCTCCTCCCCTGGGAAACCAGGGAAGTATTCGTACCTCTCTTGGTAACAGCTGTTGGGCAACACTGTGGCGTTCAGGACACCATGCCAGGGTTCTATGGGTAACGGTTTTCTAAATCGAAGTGGTCCTATTGGAGGCTTGGCGAATGGAATCCCATAGAATATGTGGACCTCCTTGTCCAATATAGTACGGGAGAAACCACGAACTAGACCACTAGTGGTCTCCACCACTAGAGGATCGTTGTGCACGTTATTTCCCTGCGCGGAAACATTGGCCCTGACGGAGCCGGTGCTGAGAAGGGCTAGCAGGAGCAAAAGATTCGTCATCGTGGTTGGTTTGGCTAGAGAGTTTCGTAGAGCACACCTGCCCAGAGAGACTCAACAAGTTAGCGAGTGGGGGACCGGCCGTGGAGCCGGCTTTTGCGCGGAATCCTCTCCGTTCGCCTCCACTCTCTAACCACGCCGTCTCCCCGTGTTTCACTCTGCCTCTGTACCTTCTAATTCACCGTGACCTTTTGTAGCATACGCACCGACCAACCTGCACACGCACGCGCGCTGTATATCACCCTTTTTCACCCTTTTCTCACGGTCCTAATGTCTGTTCGTCGTCTTTCTCTCTAGAACTGCAACAAAACACGCTTTCCGTGGACACCGTGGTTAATCACTTGTCCAAAAGAAACCCGTAGGTTGACCGTGACGGCGCGAGTCGCCAAGGACACACGACTGCGTCGCGGAAAGACAAACAAAGGGATCACGCGCAGATTGAGGCGGGCAGAGGATAAATTTTCGCGCGGCGGCCGGCGAGCCGCGTTGCACGGGGTCGACTGATGGAGGCAGTAGAGGTGGCACAGAGTCGAGGTGCGCTGTTGGGTGGTAGTGGTGGTGAACACGATGGTGGTGGTGGCACTGGTGGATGTGGTGGTGGTGGTGGTAGTGGTGGAGTGTTGGCGCACGCCTCGCGCCCGTACATAGCAATGGCCATTCGATTCTCTTGGTAAGTTCTCGAGCAATTTGATCCTCTGAAGATTGCAGTCTCTTTTCATGTGCCAGTATCCTTTAACAAATTTCAAGTGTCTCGAAGTTTCGAATTGTTTCTCTGACTTGTAGAATTCGATCAAAACTGTAGTATCGATGGCCCTCTGCTTTTTATCGCAGGAACTAAAAAGTATTCTGAACGATGCTTCCTGGTGCTTTGATTCAGCGTTATACCCATCGCTAGTTGTATGCATAGGTAGGTCGATCCTCAAACGCTGTCCTTGCTCGTTTGTCTATCTACACGCCCTAGTAGTTTCAATCTCATTCTTCCGTCCCTTAATCACCCTGCAGACCGAAGAAATCGCGGCCTCGCGTCAGGTCGAATGAAATCTGAAAACCATTACAAGTGAAAACATTTCGTTACGGGTCGATGAAAATGCGAAAACGGATAAATGTACCGCAAGAAACAGGAGATGCAGTTGCAAGTCGCTTCTTTCTGCTACGTTTCATGCACGTCTTGAATTATTTCTATTTTCATGGAGTAGTACACTGATAGAGGAGCCTCGTAATAATTTACTGTAACCACTAGAAGTAAGAATTATAAATCTCCAGCTTTGCAGAGTATCTTTCAACTTCTACATACTTTTTAAGTAATTCAAAAAGGGAGGGAAGGGAGGAATGAAAAACTTAATGGCCGGTAAAGTTTCCTTTTCGCGATTCCCAAACCCTTGTTGTAGACTGACACCGCAAAACCGGACAAAAAGGATCGGCTAAGAAACCAGAACAAGGTGTCCTACATCCAACCCTAACCGAGCGACATTTCACCCTTCGTAGAGGAAACCGAAATGATTCTATTTCGTAGCAATATGCTCACCTTAATTCTGTCTTTCCAACCTTCTTCATCTTAAGCTTAACACCCCAAAGAATCTTGCCCTTATCATCAAACCCATCAAATAAGGATACCGTTAAAATAATCCCAGCATTGCTGTGCAAATAAAATGAAGCAGAAATAGCGATTCCTAAAGATGGATCTGACTTCCTTATTTGAGAAATGGACAAGTTAAGAATATCTGTAAACCATACCAACTATATCCTATAACGCACAGATGTCATTGCAATTATTCCCAAATTCAATTATCAGAATTTTCAATTGCATCTAAACTCTGCCTTCGGGTTGAATCCTCGCTAGAAACAGGTTCCGTACATCATGGGACGTGCTGTATGTGCAGTTGAACGTTTTCACCCTGCTCGACAATCAGCAAAGACTTTCCAAGTTCCTGTGGAAGAACAGGTTTCCGGTGTGAAAACGTTACGTGACGACAGCAGCCAGGATTCACGCTTTACTCGGGAACTAAGCCGAGGCGTGGGATGCAAAGACATCCGGAATGCGTGATGTTATTAGTAGGAAGACCGGTCCGGACGTAGACTGCATACCTAACGACGCATTCACGATTGCAATCGCGATCTGTTCTCGATGGATGGGTCTTCAGCTCCCCTATGAGCTAGACAATATCTCTGTCCCTTCTTGTGCGACTCCTCAAGGGTCTCCAAGCTTAAAGAAACTTCCACGAATTCGAGATTTGGTCATCTATCATCCTACAGCAAACCAAGTTATTTCAATTACTATGATGCTTGTAACTCGAGTAAGGTTATTGAATGAAATCTTTGAGAATATAATAAAAGACAAATCACCTATTCTTAACATAAGTATACCCAAGTTTTGCCCCAATCAGTCAGTCATACAAAAAAGGAGTCCACAATTGAACCCTATTCTGTTCCCGGTTCTTCCATTATCCTGTACAAAAACATTGGACCATCCAGAGAGAAAGAAATCCGTCGAACGACCGACAGCGGGGTGGGACAATCCTTTACAAATGCCAAAGGAAGAAAGAAGCTCCCTAATGAAGCGGCGCAATTACGCTGTCGTTATCCATTTTCGAGTTCTCCATTTTCCGGCGGAACTCTTTTGTTCTAATCGCGGTACGCCTCCCTAAAAGGCTTCTTTGCAGAGGCCTGGCCGAGTTAATCCCTTCGTCCCAGCCGGCAGATAGAATCCCAGTTCGTATCTCTGGACCCGGGAATCGGAATCCGTTGTTTATTATGCTGTCCTCTTCCACCCCTCATCTCTCTCGCACACTCTGCCCGTTGCTCTGGACTGGACCAGCGGCTGAAACACCGCAATTCGAGCTGGCCAGCCGGATAATAATAGCGATGTCACTCTATGGGTTTTGCGCGAGGAAACTTCGTTTGACGAAAGCACGGAATGCTTTGGAACCCTGAAAACGAGAATTTCGGGTTAACTTATATTCAAACGGTTGCACAGAGACTTTTCCAGCATCGTGACTCTGCAGAATCGTAGCCTGCTTACGGACTGCCAGCCGAAGATAAATATTTGACTATGTAACGCAGGATTCGAATGGAGTTTACACGTTTGCACGAGTCCGTAGATAGGAAGCAACAGTCCAGAGGCTCATGAATATCCAAAAAGTATGAAACGCTCGGTGATTTAGTGTATTTAACCCCACGCTACGTGATATTTTTACCAGTTACTTAAGCGAGCGCTACCCGTTGCTGTAACATAGAGTCAGGTGCAAAATATTGAAAAATTATACACAATTTGAATTTCATAATCCACGGCTTTCTAGCTGAGCTATGGTTCTAGTACAACCTGCTTTCCTTGAATCGAAATCATGATTCGTGCCACGAGTATGACTCGATATTATCGAGCACAGGGCTAACTCTTAGTTAGCATACCTTAGCTACCAAGGTGTGCGTAGCTTAGGGACTGCCCTATTTGGTGATCGTCGATAGCTATTACAAATACATTACAGGCAGCCTTTCAATGTTCTTCTAAGAAGAAAATCATATAAAGTAATATTTGCAAACAAACTAGGAACGTTCAACGAGTCATACAAGATCTTGATAAGTTATGCTCCCATATATCAGTTTCCTTCTTTTCGCTTTTCCCGGTAACGGGTAGGTTGATATCGCCGAGCATCAAGATAAATTGATAGCATCACTACGAACATAAACGATGAGTATTAGTTTCTCGATGATTAAACATGGACGCCTTCAAAATAGTAATAGAAGTCCTATGTTAAATAAACATTCATACCAATATCCTCGTGGTGATCTCATTAGATCTGAGAGGATTATTGTTATCATAACGTAACGCTAGAATAATATAGCCATGGAATCCTCTAAGGATCTCTCGGTGTGAAGAAGATTTCTTCTCAATAAGTTGAAGTTGACGCCAGAAAGTCAAAGAGGCGTGATCCATTGAGTTACGCCGATTACACGGTCCACCAGGCGACCGGAAGTTTCGCCAGGATTAATCGACTGGTCCGTCTTTGGGCGCTACGGATTCGAAGCGAAGCATTTTATTAGCTGGTCCGGGGTAAAAGGTGTCGCCGTTTCTCCTCTTTCTTCTCGCTCCGACGGCCCATTTTGCCGCGCTCGTTTTTCCTCTTTAGCCTCGGCCAATGGAAGGGTCACTCGCTTTGGCTTTCGTCGAACGTTTTGCTGAAAAATTGATGTCGCCCCGTTGAAATGAAGACATACGCCACCTGAAACGCCGTGAATACTGGTAACCTTACTGATACGAGCTAATAAGAGAGATATAATACAATGTCTACGAAAAACCTCCTCATAAAACATTTTTATACCCTGGCTCAAGGGTTGCCATGATTTTGATTGGAAAAAAAAGGAAGACCAGGTATTTGACGACTCCGAGGTCCAAGATTTACACAGTCCAGCTTAATCCTCTTATCTCTTCATACAGGTAAAATATTTTCCACTGTTCATCCTTGTTGCCTCAGTCTGCCTTCAACCTCCTTAATTAGCCATTTATACGTGAGCTCTGCATTCTTCCGGATTAAAGTCTGAGTTTTTAGAGGACTGAGGTATCGTCTCTTATATATTCGGTCTTAGAATGTCAGATGTGCAAAAGTTGGCCTGTTGGCTGATGGATCGGTCGACGGTGCATCCGCTACGGGACGTGCAGCTGCATAGATACTTGTTCAGATCGATGGACGGCTCAAAAGCGACGATATGAAAGGAGACTTCGAACCTTTAATCGATGACACTTCCTTTGCAATATCGCAAGCGAAATAGCACCGATTCTTGATCACGGATTCCTGGTATCTTGTTGTTGCACAAGCAGTCGCTTGGATGATTAGACTTGGGTCTGCTCTAGATTATAATTAATTTCTCGTCATAAAATATTCAGTCCGGCGTGTGATATTTTCATGGATGATATTTTCAGAGAAAAGATAAAAAGAAAAGGATGATTGTATCCAGGATCCAATTGTAGTTTCCGGGTAGTCATTTAAACGAGCCCAATTTGTTCAAACCGCGATATAATCGTGTTGCGCTGTTGGTCCTGATCAGTTCCGGAAAGAAGCTGAAGCACAACCTGCACTAGGTTGGTCGGAGGTTGCCAGCAGGTGGCAGGTTTGCCGCGTATCGATTTCTTACGAATCCAGCCGGGCTTGGAATCGCTATATGACTGCTCTCGAGTAAAACGGCCCTGAAGCGAGCCTCTCGACCTATCTCGAACTTCTTGCAACGCCCGATCGTCCCCTGGCCGAGTCTTTCCCACGGGGGACATTAGAATATATAGGTGGGTGGGCATAATCTTGACGTACCTATAGGCTCGTTCCTAACCTCCAAACGGCGGAAACATTCGACACATGAAATTTTTACATGACAAAGTTCGCAATCACGAGAGAATGAATATTAGAAAT